ACTATATTACAAAGCTATGTCAATTCTAGCAGTATGGTTTTAGCATAAAAACAGACACATAGATCAATGGAAGAGAATAGAGAACCCAGAAGTAACTCCACACTTTTATGTTCAATTAATTAATGTATGACAAAAGAGCCAAGAATATACAACGGGGAAAGGACAGTCTCTTCAATAAAGAGTGCTGGGAAGACTGGACAGCCACATGCAAAAGAATGAAACTCTATCCTCTTACATCATACACAGAAATTAACTAAAATGGATTAGAGACTTGAAGAAAACACAGGTGGTTTCTTGACATCGATCTTGGTGATGATCTTTTGGATATGACTTTAAAAATAAAGCGACAAAAGCAAAAATAAACAAGTGAGGGCTTCCCTGGTGGCACAGTGGTTGAGAGTCCGCCTGCCGATGCAGGGGACACGGGTTCGTGCCCCGGTCCGGGAAGATCCCACATGCCGTGGAGCGGCTGGGCCCGTGAGCCATGGCCGCTGAGCCTGCGCGTCCGGAGCCTGTGCTCTGCAACAGGAGAGGCCACAGCAGTGAGAGGCCCGCATACCGCAAAAAAACCCAAAAAACCAAAAAAACAAGTGAGACTACATCAAACTAAAAGGTTTCTGCCCAGCAAAGAAAATCATCAACAAAATGAAAAGGCAACCTACCAAATGGGAGAAAACATTTGCAAATCATGTACCTGATAAGGGTTAATATCCAAAATATACAAAGAACTCATACAACTCAAAAGCAAAATATTAAAATTAAAAAATGGGCAGAGGATCTGAATAGACATTTTTCCAAAGACAACATACAGATGGTCAACAGGCACTTGAAAAGATGCTCAACATCACTAATCACGGAAATGCAAATCAAAACCACAATGAGATATCATCTCACACCTATTAAAATGGCTGTTATCCAAAGGCAATAACAAATGTTTGTGAGGATAAAAAGGAAAGGGAACCTGTGTGCATTTTTGGAAGGAAGGTAAATTGGTGCAGCCACGATGGAAAACAATATGAAGACCCCTCGAATTAAAAACAGAACTAACATATGACCCAGCAATTCCACTTCTGGGCATTTACCTTATGAAAATGAAAACCCTAATCTGAAAAGATACATACACCCCCACATTCAGTGCAGCATTATTTACAACAGCCGAGATATGGGAGCAAGTTGTATGTTCATCGATGGATGAATGGATAAAGCAGACGTGATATGTATAATAGAATACTCCTCAGCCATAAAAAAAGAATGAAATCTTTCCATTTGCAACAACATGGATCGACCCTGAGGGCATTAAGCAAAGTGAAATAAGACAGAAAAAGACAAACACCATATGATCTCACTTATATGTAGATTCTAAAAAACAAAACAAACAAAAAACGAAGCTTATTAAGACAGAGAACAGACTGATAGTTGTCAGGGGGTTAGAGGAGGGAGGCAGTGGAGAGGGTCAAAAAGTACAAACTTCCAACTATAAAATAAATAAGCCATGAGGATGTAATGTACAGCATGGTAACTAGTTAATAATAGTGCATTGCGTATCTGAAAGTTGCTAAGAGAGTAGATCTTGAAAGTCCTCATCATGATAAAAAAAAAATTGTAACTAGGTATGGTGATGGATGTTAACTAGACTTACTGTGGTGATCATTTCATAATGCATACAAACATTGAACCATGATGTACAGATGAGAAATATGTCAATTATACCTCACTAAGAATGCTAATGTCACTCACTTTACTTTCTCATTTCAAGACTAAAACTACAAAATCTATAGGTAATATTTGTTTTTTATACATATTACTCATGTGGCTGGCACATGTTAGTTATTATTCTTATTATTAATAACTCATATAAGTACATTAAGTGCTGTGATTTCTAAGAGCTGTAATGTTACTATCTGAATTATCAAATGTCTTACTACTTCCCTCAAAATATAAAAGACATGAGAAGTGACTGGGAGAGTATGAAAAAAGCATACTCTAACATACAACAGAAGGCTTTTATTCAATGTGACAGATACTGATAATCAGTGTTATGGACTGAATTGTGTGCCTCAAAATTCGTATGTTGAAGTCCTAACCCCCAATATTTCTGTACTTGGACACAGGGCCTTAAAGGAGGTGAATGAAGTTAAATGAGGCCATCACTGTGGGGTGGCAATCCAATAGCACCGATGTCCTTGTAAGAGGAAGAAACATCAGCAGTGTGTATGTACAGAGGACACAAAGAGAAGGCGGCTGTCTACAAGCTAGGAAGAGAGGTCTCATCAGAAACCAAACCTGCTGGCTTTGGACTTCCAGTCTCCAGAACTGTGAGAAAATCAAGTTCTTTTATTTAAGCCACTCTGTCTGCAGTATTCTGTTATGGCAGGCTGAGTAGACTACAGTTAATTTAAAAAGTCCGTAAAAGCAGGAAAAAATTAAAATGCTTTGTTAATATATTAAACATCTTATTTCAACTTAAAAAATTGTATATTCAGGGACTTCCCTGGTGGTCCAGTGGTTAAGACTATGCTTCCACTGCAGGGGGCATGGGTTCAATCCCTGGTCAGAGAACTAAGATTCCACATGCCACGTTATCAATCTTTTGATACAGAATTAAGACCTGCAAAGATGTCCAGTTTTGGCTTCTGTAAAATGAAGCAAGAACTTAGACTCTTACAAAGCAACCTCAGTACAGAAACCTGGATTGCAGTAACTTTTTCCCAACCTGTTATAGTTATCTCAACCATTTCCAATACAAGACTCTAAATTTTTCAGCAATTCACTTTGTCCTATCTTTCTAAAGCATTCATATTTGTTTCTACAGAAATGACAACTTCATTCTTCCATTCACATTTCACTGGTCTAACTAGTATTTAGATTATATAAATGACATAGCAAATATAACTGGCATAAACAGCTCACAGGAAAAACACAAGTGACTCACAATAGACAATTCATCTGTAAGTACAGAAGTGTACAAATATAGTAGAGACCAAGTAACTCACTAGCTCAAAGTATCTGACCTATTCTAGGCATCATGCATTGTGTTTTAGAGCAGGAACAGCCAGTACTGGTTAATCAACTGAGTTTGAAATGAAGTTAGTTAAGAGGGCTTCTTGGTACAGTCCTCCCTTGGCATCCACAGGAGATTGGTTCCAGGACCCACTGTGGATACCAAAATTGGCAGATGCTCAAGTCTGAGAGTCGGGTCTCGGCATCCACGGGTTCCGCACGCTCAGTTTCAACCAGCTGTGGATCGTGTACCACATTTAGGATGAGCAGTTTGGCTGAATCTGTGGATGTGGAACCCTCGGATAGGGAGGGCTTACTGCATATCCAAATAAACGGTGGCCATTTAAAATGATCGCTTTGGAAGGTTGTGTCACTGTGTCAAACAATTTGAAAACTCCTCTTTTGGAATTTCTGAAAACTGCTTATGTTTTAAACGTTTAATGGTAAACTGTCATCCTTGGAACGAGATGTGACTTCCAAAAAACATTAAGTGACCTGTCTGGTATAAAATGTGAGCAGCAAAGTCCAGGAATATAATTTGAAGAAAAGCAAGGTGTACTATAAAGTAAAATAACTGTTTAATATATTTCTTCTTTAAATGTAAATCTAAAAGTTTTAAGAACATGCTGAATAATTATGACATAAGTATATTGAGTACAAGATGCCACTCCAAGAATATCTGCTACTTGCATATAAACTTCTAGTATTTGTTTAAAATGACTATCAGACATTCATTTTAATTACATCACATATACCTTTACATATGTATGTATGTATGTACACAAATACATACATACACATATATGTAAGAGTGGACACCAATCAACTTTATACACACCCACACACACACACATACGTATATGTATATATACACATAGCTTAGCCTTCAGAAATGCCCTGATACTGGAGCCCAATTATTGAGGAAATTTTGTCACATTGAAGATTCTGAACCTTACTCTTATAAAAATGAGTCACGAAAATTTTTGCATCAAGAAGTGACTTAACGAATGCAGTGTTTTAGGAAGATTTATTTAACATGTAGGAACTAGAGGTGTGAAAAATGGAAGGAGAAAGGTAATTTAGGAGATTATCAGCATAAACCAGGTATATGGTAATAAGGGTCTAAATTAGAGACAGACAGGAAATGGAAATTAAAAGGACAAAAACAAGAAATATGTAAAATAATATATGCAAAAGGGACTGTACAAACATTAGTTTTTATTATTGTGAAAGAACCCGTAAGCTGTGAAGTAGATGAAAAATATCAAATGCAGAGTAAGGATGAGTAAGACAAAATCCTCAGGCAGTAACACCCTGTTCTTCTCCGCTTGCCCTACAAATCCAAAACAAAGATGGGGCTTACTCAAATTTCTAGTGAATATGGAAGAGCTTTGGTTGTCAATCAAGATAAGTACAGCCCAGTGAGCATTCTGTAGATTTAATTAAGCTCCAGTATGAGGTATTCATATCAATTCTGATCTGGATATGAAGTAACAGATGTTTTGTTCTTTCTTCTCAAGCTTAAATGAATTATGTGTGGGGGAGAAAGAGAAAGAAAAAGAGAGAGAACACGTGTTGGACCCTAACAGATGGGGGCAAATTACTTTCTCCTTTATACAAAGTGACATTTTCTCTTCAGTACAGTCTGCAATCACGTAGGTTCTGCTTTGGGGAGAAATGGTAACTAGTACATCGCTAATTAGACAATGGTTGTTTAATTAAGAGTGCTCTGTTTTATAACTGAGTTAGCCCAAGGATGTCAAATAAGCCTGAAAAGTAAAGGTCAACTTTTATTTCTAGTCTTCAACTTCTATATTCTATTCCTACCCTCTGAACTCCACCAAAGGCCACAAACCTGCTCAACTTTTACCTCTTCCTGAACTCGTCAATATTTTTAAAAAAATCAAGGACTAACGTTTCCAAACTTCATTAGAGGAAAACTAGAAAAATCTACTTCTAATTCTTCCAGAATTTATCTGAAAAACACTAGGATAACTTACCTCAAATCCCTTCACCTTTTCCATCGTTATCAAGCGCCTTGATGTGCGACCGGAAAGCTTCTGCTCACAGTTGCTGATGAGTTTCAAGCAAGGGTGCCAGGGTACCATCTCTTCAGTGTATCTGAAGAAAGAGCAGCTGACTGTTAGGGACACTCACATGTGCACCCCGCACAGGATCATCATGGGGGTTATCCAGTGTGGTATGGGACGTCCTCCCACTACATGCTGTACCATTTTATTTCACATATGCTAATTGTCCATATAATCCATAAACAATCTGCATTTATGAAAAGCAAAGTATTTAACATAACCACATCCAAAGAAAGTAATTGAATGTTTTTACCTGTATAATGAGGATGAGAGAGAACACAGGTATGTTTTATTGAAGAATGCCAAGCATTTAAACCACAGAAATACAAGACGACAATTCTACCCTAAAGGATCCCACGAGAGCACATAACACAGACAGAAATACATTCCATAACAACCCCCTAACATTCATGAGGGACTGATTCAACTGGGGATGTTTATAAATTCCCAAAGGAAAGTCCACTACAGCATATACCCCTTTAAAATGAAATGTCCCGGCAAAATTTTTTATGACATCTTGAGACCTCTATTAACCTTGTTATATAAGATTATTCAGCTAAACTACCACTAAATTAAACACTACAGATGACATCAATCCTCTGCCATGAAATAAAACCAAAGTTATGATCAAGAGCAGTGGTGCTTGCTGCCGTACAGCACATGTACTTAGTGAATGAAGATGACGACACCTAGAAAGCAGGACAGTCAGGGTGCAGTAGTTCAGAACTTCATGTCTGATAGGTTGTTGGCACTAATCTTGGTAGAAGAAACAGGTAACAAATGTGGGGGAAACAGTTATGGAGCAGAATTCAGAAGAACAGCAGGAGAGAGGGCTCACTAGGTAGGGGCACCTTTAAGAACACTGTGATTGCCAGTTTTTATTTTTCCTTTGCAAACCTTCATATGTTTCTAGATAAACAGCCTGCAAACATTTTTTATACGGGATATCTTAAAGCTCTGATCCAAAATGGGAAAGGTGCTGATCAGCGCTTCCTGTAAAGGACCACCATCCAACCAGCCAATTCTAATGCATCAACACTGTCTTCCCCACCACTTGTTCACTGATTTCTCTAGGTCCCTGTGACCTTCAACAAGCTCTCCCTCATTACCTTGACCACATGCTCAAAACTTTCATCACCCACTTACCAAGCAACATTCATAATGCACTTCACTTCATTATCAGTGGAAGGAATTCTCTTGAAGTCATTCTCTGCCTCCCTCCTTAGGGCTTTCCAACAAATAATGGCCATTTCAGATTTCATCTCACCTAATAATTCTCTAATGCTCACTATACAGTCAGAAATGTTGTGCTCCTATGACATTAAGTTGATGTCAAATTTGGAGTCTTCACACAAAGCATTTATGATATGAAAGAATACATTCTACACCATAGTTGACAGACTTAAGTAATGGTAACAAAGAGAAGATATAGTTTTGACCTTAGGCTTGCAAACATCAGGGTTTAGAAATGTCTGAACTTGTCAAATTTAGTAACATACCCTTTTTTAAAGAAAAAAATCTTATTTCTTGGCAAAGGAAAACGTATTTTTATTAAATTTTATTTATATACCTTTTATTGACAAGGTATTTTTATTAAAATGTTTCTTAAATGTATATAAACATAAATTCCTCATGCTTATATAATTTATATAACTATAAAGCCCAAAACAAATTTATAAATTAAATCAAAGTACAAAACCAATACCATTTTAATTAATATTTATGACATGAATAATGCTAAACTGGTGAAACTAAGTCATTGGCATTTGGCTTAACAGCAGAAAAACATTTACATGTTCTAGATCATTTTTTGACTTGAACTTTGAGTTTAAGCATGAAAGGACATCATTTAGGTCATCATTATCATTAACAAACTTGTTTTTAACCACTACTCTATTATATGAATGAGCCAATCAATTTAACAGTGTACTCCCAAAATATCACACTAAAAAATAAAAAACAGCAGTTAAAAATTATTTACTATATATTTACTAACATATTTCATACTCATGGACTGTTTGCAATCTGTTAAGTAGAAGCTATAAATCTGTACTATGCCTAGACTATTATGATAGTATGGTATCTTATCTTAATTCCCTGTTTTTAGTACTATTCCCCTATAATCTAAGCCTCTATTTAAAATCTAAATCAGCCAGAATAGGTAAATCCACAGAGATAGATAAGTGGTTACTAGGGACAAGAGCAGTAGTGACTGCTTATGCATACAAGGGTTTCTTTTTGGGATAATAAAAATGTTCCAGAGGGCTTCCCTGATGGCGCAGTGGTTACGAATCCACCTGCCAATGCAGGGGACACAGGTTCAAGCCCTAGTCCAGGAAGATCCCACATGCCGCAGAGCAACTAAGCCTGTGCGCCACAATTACTGAGCCTGCGCTCTAGAGCCCACGAGCCACAGCTACTGAGCCCGCGCACCAGAACTACTGAAGCCCACACGCCTAGAGCCCATGCTCCGCAACAAAGAAGCCCACGCACCGCAATGAAGAGTAGCCCCCACTCATTGCAACTAGAGAAAGCCCATGCGCAGCAACGAAGATCCGATGCAGCCAAAAATAAATAAATAAAATAAATTTATTTAAAAATTGTTCTAGAATTAGACAGTGGTGATGGTTGCATAACTCTGAGGTTATACTAAAAACCATGGAGTTGTACACTTTAAAAAGGTGACTTTCATGGTATACAAATTATATTTCAACCTTTTTAAAAAAAGAAAAAAAAAGTGTATAGGTCCCTAGCTTTTCCATCCATCAATTTTGACAGCCATTTATTTTCCTGTGAATCTTCATGACTCAAGCTAACTATTTCCAAATGTCATTAGAGTTTCACTTCCCATTTGAGAAACGGATTTTGTGCTGATTGGAGCACTTACTGAAAACAATTTAAAAGAATCACTTTTCTCTGTTTCCTGTATGAAAGATGAAAAACAACATGTTCGTTTCTGTTTTGTGTAGCTCTGAGCCACCACAAAATTCATTTTATCACAATTAAACTTTATCCCCAAATCTTACTTTGGAGTACTTTATTAGACTTCTTCACTTTGTCATCATTTTTATCACAAGCACTAGCAGTTGGATTTCCAGTAAAGGACATCCTTCACAAAGAAACACAGTTTCTAATCACTTCAAGAGCATTATCTGTATATAAATGACAATTAGAAAACAACACATAGGGATATGTGGAACCTGGGCAAAAAGCTACACTCACTCAACAGCTTAGCAACTCCTATAACATCAAATACACAAGTTGAATGTATGCCCTGCCCAAATGAATGTTACACAGATCTTCAGGGTCATTTGCAAATAGTTGAAATTGTGAATAATAAACTCACAAATACCAAAAGTCAAGAATAATTTTACGTGGTAAGTCTCTATGAGTAATAAGAGTAAGCTACTAGGAGAGCACATATGAAGGACTGATGAATTCTGCTTAGAAGGTTTCAGAAAGTGTCACAGAGGTGGTAACAATTAAGCCAGGTCTTGAAAGATGACTAGAATTTTACGGCTGAGGAAAGAAGAAACAGTATATCAAGCAATGGGTACAGAATAAATAAAGGTTGAAGGACATAACATATTCAGAGTGTCTTGATGCTGGCCAAAAATACAGTATACTAGAGTGGGGAGAATCTGGACTAGAGGAAGCAGAAGTCTGTTGAGTAGCAGTTTCTTCACCACAATTTAAATTACCAAATAGTGAGAAAATCCTTTTTCAATCATCAGTTCTGACAATTCTTCACAAATAACTAAGCTGTTAGGTAGTATTTTGTTTTTATCGTCTTATACCTTTCAAAATGTCTTGGGTTTAAAAAAAATAAAAATGTTCTGGGTTTAATGAATAATACCTTAACTTGATTATAATGTGCGAGTCTTATTTTTAAACTTCAATCATATAACAGGATTTGGCTGAGTAAATTAATTCAATAGTAGTACTAAAAGCCTACATTCACTATACCAAAAATACAAAAGTTTTCAAATTAAGCTGTGCTAAGGTACAATTTTAAAATGAATTCTTTATTCTTAGTCTAATAAAAAGCTATATATGCAATACAACATAACCAAACTAATTCTAAATCGTTTAATTCAGAAGCAAGAACGTTATTTCAAACTTTTGCAGATGACTTTAGTTTTAAGTTCATCTAATACTGTGTTATTTTAAAAAGAGTAAATACTTTGGATTATGTTTACTGCAAAAGTGAAAATAGTTCATTCCCTAATATAAACGCAAGACAAACTAAGTTCATTAATAAGATCACTTTGAGTTAAGGGGAGGAGAAGGCACAACAGAAGTCTAGTTATGAACATCAGAAGACCTGACAAATAAGTCAGGGAAGTAAATGCCATAGGAGTCTTTCCATGTGTGTCCTAGCCTGGATGAAATTTGTCCTTTGATAAAACATCTAAGGTAAAAAAAAAAAAACAAAAGTGACAAAAACGTGCCTTTTTTTACTTCTAAAAAATCCCTTTGGTTATATGGACTTGGAAATTTCCCCTTGTCGAAAATTATTAAAAGAGAAGTCACTGAAGAAATACCCAGTGGCCATTTTTTAAGGTCCTCAGAAATACTAAAATATTTGAAAGTGCCTCCAGTTTGACTTTTTATAAAAAAGAAAGAAATAAAAGAATTACAGGAGATATTCATAACCACATTTAATTTCAATTATAATTAAATAATAAACTACAAAATAGTGGAAAGTCAGAAATGCCAGAATATAAGAAACACACAAAAACTAATGAGGATATTTCAAAGGACAGAGGAGCCACCTCAGAGGGACTCCTGCTGATCATAAATCTGGGACAATTTGAACAACGAAATAATGATAGTGATAAATTATAACCCAATGAATAATATAGGAATCTATGACTCCATACCAGTATAAATTAATAAATTAATGGGAGAGAAGGGAAAACTAATCCTTATAGTAGAATGCCAACTTAAAATGCAGAAGGAATGATGGAATAGAAAAGTCATCATTATGGTGGTTGTCAATGTGAGTAGTCACCTGATGAAGAACAAGATATTGGTGTAATCTTGTGATACCTCCCCCTGGGAAATACTAATCGAGAAGAACATGATAACTCACAGCGGAGAAACCTGACAGAGAACAACATGACCAGATGATCAAGTTTAAGACCTCCCGTAGAGGTTGGCTCTGTGTGCCCCATAATGCAGTGCACTAAGAGCACAGTATCATTTTTGTGGTATTTCTACCAAGAGCATTGCCTGAGTCTGGTCAAGGAAGAAACATCAGATGGACCAGGTTAGGGGTCAACCTTCACAATATAAGCCCTGTACTCTATAAAACTGTTAAGGACACAAAAGATAAGGAAAGATTGAGGAAATATTCCAGACTGGAGGAGAATGACATGAGGGGTCAATGCAGTACATTTTCCTAGAGAGACTGCAATCAGTAATATCTGACTGGGGTCCATGATCTGGACAGCAGCACTATCAATCCAGACTTCAGGGGTTGATGGTGATTTGACAACAATGCTCTTGCTTCTGAGAAATGCAATGAAATACGCAGGGGTGATGGGGCATCATATCTGCAACTTCTCAAATAGTTCCAAAAATGATTAATGATAATGGGCGTGTGATTAATGTAATGGGTGAGGAAAGGGGGGTAGAGGAGGTGTATGTTAATAGTTGGAAAATTTGGATGGGGGAGAGATGGGAGTTTTTTGCATTTGAAACTTTTCTGTAAATTTGAAATTTATTTCAAATAATTTTTTTAAAATTCCAGCTCTGAAAACTTGAATTAAAACAAAAAGACAAGTTAGTTTGCTGCTGGAGTTCAGCTTGTCTAAGGCAGAAACCACTTTTGAATAAAAATAAACAAATATGCTCTTCTCTGAAAATATTTTTTTTCTCTGAAAATATTAATAAAACACCATCTATCACTCCACATACCAGACACCTGAGATCTTGGCAAGATCTTGAATTATGTGAACAGCACTAGGAATAATGAAAACAATAAACTAGCTAGCTTTTAACTTTAGACAAGTCATTTCACTCCTTGGAATTAATTTCTCTTATTTCCAAAATTAAGAAATAATTAATTTCTTAACAGAACATAAGCCCTGTGTTAAGGGGTATGGGTATGAATGTGTACAGTCTTATTAGCTGATAAACAAGATGCAAAACTAAAGTTAGATCAGGGTTTCCCTGAGGGTGCAGTGGGTAAGAATCCGCCTGCCGATGCAGGGGACACAGGTTCAAGCCCCAGTCCAGGAAGATCCCACATGCCGTGGAGTAACTAAGCCCCTGGGCCACAACTACTGAGCCTGTGCTCTAGAGCCCGTGAGCCCCAACTACTGAAGCCTGTGTGTCTAGAGCCCACGCACTGCAATGAAGAGAGTAGCCCCCGCTCGCCTCAACTAGAGGACGCCCGTGCACAGCAACGAAGACCCAATGCAGCCAATAAATAAATAAATTTATTTTAAAATAATAATAATAAAAAAATAAAGTTAGGTCCTGGTAGCTCCCAATGAAACATTTATAAAAGAAACAACAAAAAAGCATAGCTTCCAACTGCTGAGGGACCATCAACCATTATGAAAAGACAAACAAGAAAACACTGGTCTAAAATGCTTTTTGTACAATTATGTATAGTAAATATAGAAATTAAAATAATTTCTAAAAAAGATATCTATAGCATATTGAACAAATAGCCAAATTTTCAGCTTGACACTGCCTTTCAAATCTAAAGATCCTGTTTTGTCAACACATCTTGTCTTTCACTGTTGGTGTACACAGCTCTGTTTATAATTAATAACTACTGAATAATAAAACCCAAACCAATAATGTTGAACATAATCAGGGCTTTAAATATATGCATAGCTCTTAGTTTGTTTGGTCTTAGCTTTTAAAAAAGATTTTACTGCATTTACGGTGATCATAAGAGCCAATATATATTCAAGCTAACTAGCAGTAGATAGATGAATCACTCAGCTAAGTTGTTAAAATTTATCTAAGTTTATGGCCTGGCCAAAGAGCTATTGAACACACAGGCCCCGAGCTAAGTATGATATACAACAGGGGCAAACTTTTGCTCTTACAGGCCAGATAGTAAATATTTTAGCCTTTGTGGACCACATGTGTTTCTGACACATATTCTTCTTCGTTGTTTTTTTTTTTTCTAATAATCCTTTAAATAGGTAAAAACCAGTCTTAGCTCAAGTGCCTTACAAAAACAGGCTGAAAACCATATCAGGCTCACAGGCTGTAGTTTGCCAACCCCTGATGTAAAATAAAAAGTTCAAAGCAATTCAATCAATAAGAAGAAGGGGCCTGTTTTATGCAGCGTGTTGGTAAATGAAGGCCATCATACACATTAAACACAAAGATATTTACTCTGAATATGATTAGAGACAGGGAAAAAAAGTATGCTAGATATACAAATACCATAAGAAAAAGTAAAATTATTTAATATTTTAAATAATTAAAAGTAAAATTATTTAATATTACATACTCTGGTGTGTACACTGGTAACCAATAGACTAGTCTTCCACCTAATACGAGGGTCTCAGCTGCAAAGTTTAACAGGTCAAAAAACATATCACTCAGATGATAACTCAAGGAAACAGGAACGTGGCTTTCTGGACTAGACAAAGAAAACAAAATTTCAAAATCAGTGAAAAACTTTAAGACTATTAAACTAAGTTAATTAAAAAAAAGCAATATGCTTCTTCCCAAAGTAGTAACATACCATATTTAACTTTTACTTACCATTTTTCTATCCCCTTTGGTATTTCCTTTTGTGAACCTGTTCTTCTTGTAGACTCTCTAATACCATATGGAGCTAGACAGAAAACAGGTAACACGGATAGTCAAAAGTCACCTAATCACCACTGCAAAGCAGATGGACATCATGTGCCTCCAGATATGACACCCTGAGAAGGACACATCACCTATGCAATATTCCAGCTGAGAATGCATAACAAGAGGGACATTCTATTTAAAACACTGGGAGGGCAGGCAAGCAGGTGACTGTATTCTTCAAAATGTCAATGTCATAAAAGACAGAGAAAGGTTGTGAAAATGTTACAAACTAAAGGAGGGTTAAAAGATATGACTACTAAAGGCAATACCTGACACTAGGCTGGATACTGCACTTCAGGGAAAAACATGCTATAAAGGATGTTACTGGGTCAATTGACAAAACTGGATGAGAAACTACAGATTAAAGAATTAGCGATTAACTGAAATTGGTAACTGTACTTTGGCTATCTAAGAGACTATCCCTATTCTTAGGAAATATACACTGGAGTATGGGGGGGCGGTGAAGGGCCATGATGTATACAACTTACTCTCAATTGATCAGGAAAAAAATTACGTATTTTTATAAATACACATAGAGAGTGAGAGCAAATAATAAAGTAGATTATTAATAAAAAGTCACTCAATTTTCAAAAGTATATTCATACTTGCTAATTTTTCTTTTGTTAGATTTGAAAATATCTAAGTTACCAAAGAACTGAAAAGGTCTGAGATGGAAGGGTTGAGATACTATATGCCACTATATACAGATTTACTGCCAAATACTATAGAAAAGGTAGATTTATTCTTAGATAGGATGCCTGAAAAGCCCAAGAACTCACATGGCATGAGAAAACAAGTTCTCATGCACATTCTTGAAGCTCAGTGGGTTCACAAGCACAGTGGGTCACACCCAAATTTCTTTTAACTCTATAAAGGAGATGCCAGTTACAACGGGCACAACAACAACAACAAAATATAAAAGCTTACACATAGAGAAATGGGAGATATCTGAAACTTTCTTCTTCAAATGTGATACCATAATTGCAAATGACATTTTGGCTCCGGTTGCTACACTAATAACCAATTACGGTCAAATATAAAACAAATATAAAAACAAATTTATGTCTTAAAAAATAAGCCAAAGAGAAAAAGGGATGACAAGTTAATACATATAGTTTAAAAAATCAAAACCACTTAGTTAAATTGGTGTCCTGCCCTACATTCATAATTTTTTCCTTCTCACTATGTGAAGAAGTCAGGGGTGAGGGGAATACTAATACAAGTTGGCTTTCTTTGTTGTACTGATAAATTTTGTAATTTAAATGTAAATGACTTTAGGAACCTAATCCTACTCCTACTTTTGTATAAAAATAAACTTACGATCAGTGATGATTGCATCAAAGTATGTGCCCTTCCTCCAAGAAGGTTTAGATGCATCTGAAACCAGGACATCAAGGTAATACTTCTCTAAACCATATTGACGAAGATTTGCCCTAATGTTTTCATCTGGTCCTCTCCATTTCTGGTTTTTCCTACTAGCCTTTCCTGAAGGGAAAGAAAAAGGAAGACAGAACTAACAAACAACATTCTTACCTCGTCATTTGGCTAAAAGTAACGTTTAACTTATCTAAACCTATATTTAATCAAATAAAACTTGCTTTCATTTCAAATCTTAATTTTATTTATACAAGGAACAATTATTTTTATTTTAACTTATTGTAAAAAATGTTTCAAAAAGTAAACTGTACTGATGTCTAACTATCCTTTCACATAAAACTGCCTTAAAACACTCATTCAATAATTAATGCATTCAAAGCGTACTAATAAAGACACAGAGTTAAACAGAACATGGTCCCTTTCCTCTAGCAGTGTAGAAACACTGACGAATTAGATAAATGGAACAGAAATGAAGAGAGCTAACTTGGGAAATGCAGGAGCTGTGACCACGGACAGAGGAGGTAAAACGAGAACACAAGAGATGAAGTGTTAAAGTGGGGGACTCAAGGAAGAAGTTCAAAAGTTTTAGTTTAGGAGACATGAGTGGATGATGATACCATCAACTAAGATCTGAGAAACCAAGAGGAAAAGAAAATCTAGGAAAGAAGATGAGATTCATTTGAGATACATCAATCTTGATATACCTTGAGGTACCTACAGAAGCTTCAGAAAGAGATATTCAGCAGGTAGGTAGAGGCCAGAATACATATACCTGAGAGATGTCAGTATATAAACTTAAGTTAAATCTGTAAGAATGAATGATATTTCTGATTAACCTAGGTGGCAATTACATAAATGTTTGTTCGATAATTACTCTTGTTATTTTAATAAACTCTTCTGTATTATGATCTACTTCACAATAAAAACAAAACTTAAAAAGCAAAAGAAGAATGACATGACTCTGCACAATATGTAGTGTGATAAAAGGGGTCAACAAGAGATGCCTGGAGAAAAGCAACATATAAACAGACATTGAAGAAAACTGCAGGGCCTTCAGGAGACTGAGATCAAAACAAAGAAATCAGAGTACCACCCAATGAAGCCACTGTCTAGGAAACCAAGGGCTGCTTTATGAAGGTCAACACTGCCAAATACTGTAGATCTGTGGCCTTAGTAAGATTTTTCAGTAGGCATGCAAGCTGAAAAATAACAGGCAGAAGGCAGTTAGAGATGAAGAAGAGGAATAGCAAATAAACTAGTCTTTTTAAGAAGCACTTTGGGGGACTTCCCTGGTGGCACAGTGGTTAAGAATCCGCCTGCCAATGCAAGGGACATGGTTTGAGCCCTGGTCCAGGAAGATCCCACATGCTGTGGAGAAACTAAGCCCATGTGCCACAACTACTGAGCCTGCGCTCTAGATCCCATGAGCCACAACTACTGAAGCCCTCACGCCTAGAGCCCGTGCTCCGCAACAAGAGAAGCCACTGCAGTGAGAAGCCCATGCACCGCAACAGGGAGGAGCCCCCTCTCGTCACAGCTAGAGAGAAAGCCCACATGCAGGAACGAAGACCCAACACAGCTAAAAATAAATAAATTTATTTTAAAAAAATGAAAGAAGCACTTTGGGGACTTCCCTGGTGGTGCAGTGATTAAGAATCCGTCTGCCAATGCAGGGTACATGGGTTTGAGCCCTGGTCTTGGAAGATCCCACATGCCGGGGAGCAACTAAGCCCATGCACCACAACTACTGAGCCTGCGCTTTAGAGCCTGCGAGCCACAACTACGGAGACCACGCGCCACAATTAGTGAAGCCCACGTGCCTAGAGCCCATGCTCCGCCACAGAGAAGCCACTGCAATGAGAAGCCCGCGCACCACAACGAAGAGTAGCCCCCGCTCGCCACATCTAGAGAAAGCCTGAGCGCAGCAACGAAGACCCAACACAGCCATAAATAAATAAATTAATTAATTAATTAATTTTAAAAACTCAATCTCTTAAAAAAAGAAAAAGAAACACTTTGGTAAAAGGAAGAGGAAAACAAAGTAGTAGCTAGGAGGGTCCCTATAGAATTGATAGAAAAAGTTCTGTATTTTTAAAATAGAAGAAACTTGGAAGTATTTGAGAGTATAGTAAGAGATTAGAAGCATAGGAAGCAGAGGGCATATCTAACAGCATCTTGGATAAGCTCTGAGGAAACTCTACCTCAGTCAGAATTCTACCCAAGTAGACTGAAAGGTTATCACATAACTTTTAAACATAACTCTAATAAATAAAAATTCAAATGAATTATATAGGACAATATCCTTAAAGCAAACATACTGCTTCTACTAAAAGCAAACAGGAATAATTCTTCTTAGCACTTTGTCTACTCTAACATACTGCAGACAAAGACTATCTTTTTCTGGTTAGCCCATTTAGGTGAACTTTATAAAATGTTACTCATTCTCCTTATAGTACTAAATTCTTTATAGCAAGGTAGGAAAAAAGACAGTTCATCAAATACAATATATCAAATTACTTAAGCAAAAGAAAATAAAGTCTAATAAATTCTCACCTATATAATAATTTACACTGGGTGAGTAAGAGGAAAAGCATGTTTTATAGGCTGATTCTAGTTACAACAATGAAATACCAGCATAACTACAATTTCAAAGAAACTTTACACTTTTAATACTACTCAGCTATGAAGAAATATTTTCAGTTTGATTCAATTTCATCCAATCACACTTCATTAGCAAAGCTTCTAGATTTTAAAGTATTTTCCAAAATTGCCTCAAAAGCAAGCAGATGCTTATCTCAAATTACCCTCAGTCTAATGCAGAATCTTTACTATTACTGTCACCTTAACTGTCTCAAAGATGTTTCGGTCAGTTATGAAATTAAAAACATGTATGGTACTCAAGGACTAGAAATTAGAGTATACACATATGACTGCTGAATAAAAGAACGGTGATAATTGTTAAGTAGAAACTCTGTTTCACTAACATGAATATGCTAATTAAAAATGACTAGTCCCTCTCCCACTTCCTTCCCAACCCAAAAGTTTTACAACCTTATTGATTGCCTACTTTTTAAAAATCTAAGACCAAAAATAGCTCTGAGAGGAGGGATTTTTCCTACTCATCTTTGTGTTTCCCCGGGGGTCATTTTGCTCACACTGGATCACTTCATAAAAAGCAGATACCCAATGAAGTCTTATTGTTGTAAGAATAACTAAAACTATATCACAACACTTTAACATTAAAAATAGATGTATAATGCCATATATAACTATTTAAGTATCTTAAAGGCACATTTGGTACAAGAGCAAAGACTGTAACACTGTCTAGAACCACTACTCACCCAAGCCATGAACGGTGTTGTAGTCTATGTCTGTCCCATATACATATGCACCAAAATGAGCAGATGCTATCAGAAGGCCACCTGAAAAAAATCACACAATTGTGATCTGTTAACCAGAAAGTCCCAGACTCTTATTTCTTCCCCTATTTAATCTGATCCAAATTCTTACAAACCAGCTGTAGGCAGAGTACCCTAGAATGACATTGGTTCCGGCCATATTTAGTAGGCTTCAGAACTGAAAAAACAACCCCCTAAGCTGTGCTCATCACACTGGTCACAAAGCAGGGAATTAATATATGCCCTGGCATTATTACTTTAAACAGCACTACTCTGGGAAAATTATCCTTTTCTTGGTCAAAATAATGTGTATTTAAACATTTTCATCTTATTTTGAGAAGTCTATACAAAAGCATCTTGCTCCTTTCTTACAATGAACATACAAGGCTGCTACACAAAGAGCTGCCAATAAATAAGTCTGACAATTGGGCTTAATTCTCACTCAAGTCAGAGTTTCAAATAACTTAAAGAGGGCATAATTAATATATAAGAGATTAATTCTTACAAAACTTAAAATATGAGGACAACAAACAGTTACTCCTATTGTCAGTGAGGTAATTATCTGATTTTAAACTGTAGATACAAATTTCTGAATAACTGTTATCAGACATACACAAAAATAGTTAATACAATGAATTTTCTGTTTACTTAGTGCTGTGAACAAAGAAAGAACAGATGTCCTAACACGATTTGACTAGACTAAGTAATTTGGTAGGTGTGACCAGTTCACATATGAAGGAACATCCTTATAAAGATTAAAAATTAATGAAATCCTTTAAACTAAAAGGTATAATATTTTTAAATTGTTTAAGAATAAAAATTCACAAAGTTGAATATCTTAATAATTGTTCTTTTCAATGAACTTCACTTTTTTAATTATCCAAATTAAAAATGTTCTTAGTACTTGGGTAAGTCCTAATAGTTATACTGCAGAACTATCTGTCAGCCAAACTGAAATCAGAAATATACAGAAAAATATTCTTAGCCTATGCACAAACTTGGATATGGGGAAATAACTAGGGCTCTTTCCATTATATCCTTTTGAAATGTAATCTCTAAAATTAAGATGGGTAGTGCCTCCAGAGGGTCAAGGTCTATAAATGAATGTGTTCCTTCCATAGCCATTTAAAACATAGTTTGGTAACATGTACTTAAAAATACTTTGCTCAATGAAAAATATTATAACTACTACCTAATGGAGCCATGAATAAGAGAAACGGAAGACTAAAAGTACAGCAGAAACCAAAACCTAGGTTCCCTCATACTAACTACAAAAAGCATTTGTTTGAGGAGGTAAGGTTAAGTAAGCCCTCATAATTCTTAGCCTATAAATGGAACAGTCCATATTTAGGAAAGGTACTATATTTAGTAATGACTTGAAATACAAAAATCACTTCACCCATATTAGAGGAATTACTACAATTCTGCCAATTAAGGCAGATACTCACCTAGAAGAACTAGTTGTCAAGGGGAACAGAAAAGCTTTCCTGTGTTCCTTAAACAGAACCTTATCCATTTGGTTAGAGTGAGTTTTGAGAAGACCCAATTTAGAGTACACTGCTGAAAGGAGATGAATAATCTGTTAGACTACATCTGTTAGTTAACTTTGTGCCCTTTAAAAGCTTTTCAAGTTTCAAATAAAATCAATATAAATTAGCTTCTCTGAACTGGTCACTGGGTAATCACTGTTAATCATCTAGTTATTTTTTTAATTAAATTGAAGCATTTTCACGTTTAGTTATACCTCAGTTGGAGTTTCCCTGGAAGCTTTTTGGTGGAAGAAGGGGTGATAAAAAAGGAGGGGGTGAAGTGTTGAGGGGGCAGATAACATGACTCACCCGATTTCTTATTAGCTATCAAGTGTAAAAATACCACATATGTGATCTAGACTAGCAAATCAGTATTTTAATGTCTTATTACCTAAATAGTAACCAGTTTAAGGTTAGGGTAATATCTTACAGGTAAAAGGACACAATAACTGAATTATGATATAGAAACAAATTTATGAGTTTCATCTGTAGAGATTTAAGTGGAAAGCCTTATAAAAATGTGAAAATGAGAACTGGGCTTTGGTTTTGCCAAAAGAAAAGGAAGAAAAATTGTAATACTATGTCCCCTATGTAATCCTTAATAAAAACAAACAAACAAAAACAACTCATAAATTAAACTAGCAGCTTAGGCAAAAGGATATTGCCAGAAAACAGAGATTATACCAAACTATGAGACTCAGGAAAAGGGGTCTACAAAGAGTTGTGGATAAAATGGGAAGCAGAGATTCTCACAAAGACCTACAGAGATCCATTATCTGTCTGCTAACTTTCTCTTTTCCTCCTCATAGTCTCCTCTCAGAGGTAGACAGTGGGCTTCTCAACACCTTGCTCCCATGTCTATCATCTGCAATGACAAAATTTCAAAGTTTTACTCCTTTCCTTAAACCTATGAGCCACTTGAAGGTAGAACAGGCAAGGAGTACACAGTAGTCTCCTGGGTATATTCTCAACTACCAAAGGAGTAGACTCATTTGAGAGAGGGGAAAGGGAAAAGCAATCAGAGCTGGGGCTGCAGAGCTACATCACTGCACCTACAGACATCAGCACACACTTGTGCCAATTATTTTCATTATGAACAAAGAATTAGAAGTTTACAATTTTAACCCTCAATTACCTTGCCTGCTGCCATAATTTGCCAATAGTTGCAAATTATGAATATCTTGGAAATCAGCCAAAGAAGGAACTAGAAAATGAATTCATGGCCAAATTGTTCATCATCACCATTCAATATTAGCTATATCTAACATCTTTCACCAAAAAGGTATCTAAGTGCTTAACAAAATAATTAAAAAATGATCAACAGTATGGTTAATTGACTGTCTTCCATCCATCATACAATTTCCTAAGAATTTCATATACATATATTACCTCATTTAACCTCACAATATATTACTTATTACCATTTCACAAATGATGGAATTGAGGCCCAGACAAGTAAAGCATCTTGCTCAAAGTCATATAGTAACTGACAGAGTAAGGATTTAAAACTCACTCTCTTTGCTCTTATGGTACACTATACTATATAACTTCCTTTAGGGTCAGCAGCAATTGAAGTAAATATTCATTAGCCTACTAATTAGATACACAAAAGTAAAATTTGTTATTAAACAAATTAAATTAAGTAAGGCTGCACACTCAGTTAATAAGAGTTGTATACAATTCACGAGTCTTGTATCATATCACAGGCAGGCCTGTGCCATTATAGGTATTCAACTTATGCATGCTGATCATTCCTTTAGCAATGTTCATATTAGAACAGCAGTACTTCCTAATTACTGACAGCTTACCCACGATATACATCTTCCCCCTTGAGAAAATGGAGATGTACAACTTAAAATAAATCTTACTATAATGAGAATCAATGTATTTGCTAAAATGGAAATGAAAGTGTGTTTCTGTAGCTCATAATGTCATTCTAGACAAGAGAACAGACTGTCTAAAAGGAAAAGGAAAGGTATTTAGGGAGGAAAAGATTATATCTCTCCTTTCAACTTCCCAGAAGCTTTCTAACCTACTCTATAACCTTGAGAACATCACAAGCCATAAGTAGTCTGTGGGTAAAGCCTTCAGGAAACTAATAAACATCTATTTTGTACCTTTAGAATGGAAAAGGGATATCATACATTTGAATTAAAACAAAAATACTAAAAAAGGAAAAGAATATCATCTAATACTTATGAAAAACTACGACCATGGAGGAGGGCACAAGGCTACTTATTTCTCCAATCCTTCAGAAGGTACTACCCATCGAAGAGACAAAAGGTCCAGTAAAGCGGACAAACTGCTTAAGAACTGTGCCTATTCTCAATTATTAGCCATTACCAGTTATAAAACAAAAGTACCAAAAACTAGCTAAAGTCTTAAAGCTATGCTTAAACAACAAACACAAATTATGAAATGTATTTTAGCAGCATCTTTGCAAAGATCTTCCTCTTGCAATTTTCCATTAACTGTCCTACATATTGCAATTAATTTTCCATTAATTGTCCTATACAGTATAAACAGTCAAATGACCAAGATATGCTACCCACCCTAAGGAGCAGCCTTAAAGCAAATTAGGGGCAGGTCTGCTCTCACCCCTTACCACACTAAAAATAGTCAACACCTTGACTGCTATGGAAGTTAGCATTTCATAATATGCCCAGCCTCGTCTACATCAAAGGAAGGAAATTTTACCCATACCGGTAACTATTTTTAAACTTTATGGTCTGGTCTATGTGTATGTGTGCATACTAAACACGTACATGTATGTATCTCAAAGAATCACTTCACAGGAAAAGGTTTTAGAAGTCCAAGAACAAGATTAAGAATTAATAGAGGGTTACCATTTGGAAAAAGATAAATTAAATCAATTCCTCACGGCATACAAGAAAATAAACTCCAAATGCATTCGAGATCTAAAAGGAAAAAAATCAAAACTACTAAAGTACCAGAAAACAGAGCTGAATTCCTCTACAAATTGGATGTAGCAGGAAAGTTTTTGCCTGGCAAAAAAACAATTACATGCAAAGTCAAAACATAAAGGGCAAACTGGGAGAAAATATTTTACATATTTATATACATAAAACAGGAAAAAAGGGGGAGAGTGACTAAAATATAAAGTATTTTTTAAAATAAGGGGGGGGAATCAAAAAGTCTACAGAAAAATAGGCAAAAGATTTGGAGATAATTCCAAAAACGTTATAAAACTGGACCTTAAAATAGAAAAAGTGATTAGATTTCACTCGTAAGAGAAATACAAATGAACACTTCACTGAGATAACATTTTCACCCAACAAACTGGCAAATTTCAAAAGCCTGACAATATACTCCGCTGGTGAGGCTGTGAGGGAACAGGGGCTTATATATTGCTGGCGAGAAGGTAAGATGGTATAATGGAGAGTAATTTGGCCACATTTAACAAAACTACATACACTTACATTCTTCAACCCAGCAATCCTAATTCTAGGAATTTACCCTGGAGCTATACTTCCAACACTGTGAAAGTATATATGTACAGATTATTCATTGCAAGCATTATTTGTAACTGTGAAATATGGGAAACTACCTATATCCAAGTTTAGGTGATTGACTAAATTACAGTACATAAACCCATGGAGTACAACTATAAAAAAGAACGAAGATAATCTCTATGAACTAAAGGAAGTGATTTCTAAGAAATACTAAGTGAAGTTAAGTGGAAAAAAAAAAAAGAAATCTGTACGGTTAGACCAGAATTTGTAGTATATGTGAAAACTCACAATTTCTAAAATATGTATATGGTTGGTTGACTCAAAATAAGGAACATTCTGGATAAAAAATAAAGAGAGGAGGGATAGTATTCTTCAAAATTGTAAGTTTTATAAAAGAAAAAGTAAGATTCTGGATATACTCCGCATCAAGGGATCAAAGAAATGTTAACAACAAAATACAATACCTGGAAAGGAAAACAGATGGTATAAAGGAACATCAGTGGGTCAATTACCAAAAATGGAATACAAACACTAAACTACTGTATTAATAGTACATTTACTAACACTGAAAACTATACTGTGGTTATGTAAGAGAATATCCTTATTCTTTTTTTTTTTTTGCGGTCCGCGGGCCTCTCACTGTTGTGGCCTCTCCCGCTGTGGAGCACAGGCTCTGAACGCGCAGGCTCAGCGGCCACGGCTCACGGGCCCAGCCGCTCCGCGGCATGTGGGATCTTCCCGGACCGGGGTACAAACCCGCGTCCCCTGCATCGGCAGGTGGACTCTCAACCACTGTGCCACCAGGGAAGCCCGAGAATATCCTTATTCTTAAGAAACATATTCCAAGTCTTTGAGAGGTAAAGGGATGTAATGGATGCAACTTACTTGTATATAAACATAATGAGAAAATAAATGATAAAGCAAATGATGCCAAATTTTAACAACAGTCTACTCTGGGTCAAGGATATGTATGTGTTCTTTCTTCTATTTTTAATCTTGTAACTTTTCTATCAGTTTGGCATTATTTCCTGTAAAGTTCAAAAAGTTGGGGAGGCACTCAGGATAATGAGGATAGGAAAGAAAGGAATAGGTATAGTAGTATGTTGGGGGTGGGATATATGAAGACAATGGTGGAATAGCAGAAGAGAGACTCACTAAGATTAATTCAACAACACAGGAAATAATTCCACCAGTTAGAATCTCTTGACTTGATTCTATTTGCTCCTAATGACATGGGATTGTATTCCTCAAGTTAGTTTATGGTACAATAGCTGGCTGGCAGATCCTAAGGCTGAGAGAGGCAGCATTATGATAGTAAAGAGCACGAGCTCTGGAGTTAGACTGCTTGAGTTTGAATCTCATGAGATTTCTACACTGTATAACCTTGACCAAGTCACTTAACCTCTGTCTGTGCCATAATCTCAGGAAGATTTTTTTAAGTATCTCAATTTCAGTAGTTGTAAGAATTAAATTAGATAGTAACATTAGAGTGCATAGCTAGTACCTGACATGTTTACTATTCAACAAATAGTAGCTACTGCATCACCACTGCTTACAAAGTTTCTGATGAGTTTCTAATGAGTTTCTGATGGGGAAAGACCACTACAGGGAGAAACTCCAACCACGCATAATTTGGTCCTAAACGATCTGAATCATAATGAATTTAGCCAGATGAACCTAAATGTGAGTACTCCCTAAGTATAGGCAAGATTTAAAAAAATGGGTTGAAGCAGGAAAATGTCTTCAGAGTCAGATGAAATAAACTTGGACTTTTAGGACTTCCACACAAAGTTAATTATGAGGACATCCAATCAAGTGCATACAGAACCCAGGTCATAGCCTCAGCAGCCAAGCTCTAGCCCATTGATACTTAGTCACTTTTCTTATTTTCAAACTTCACATATGAACCTCCACAAACCAAAGGCACATTTTTTTTCCATGTAAGTATATAATTATCAATTTTAAAAGATGAATACTTTTTAAAATTCTGTCACTCAAGTCTTTCTTCCCCCCAAGAGTTTTCCTTTTTTTTTTTTTAACTGAAGTATAGTAAGAGTTTTCCTATTTAAATAAACTATATAGCTTTACAACATTTCTACAATGTATGGTATACTCCCCTTAGTGGTTTACTTGGGGAAATAAACCCCACAAAATTCTTTCAGCATCCTCTTTGGAAGTGGCAAAAGTGTTAAATATTGGCTACTATACAAATATGTGGTTGTCTCTTATCTAATGATTATATAAAGGATTATTTTATCTTTTAGCAAAACTATTACTATGAATTTGACTAATATAAACAAGCAACATCTCTACACTAGTTTAACAATTAAATTAAAATACCTGTTCCAACAAATGGATCAAATACAATATCATTTTCTTTCACTTTTCCATGGTTGGCCATGATGAATGATAAACCAGCATCCATGCTTGTATTTCCAATAAAGTGTCTCTTTTTGACACTGTATGACTCAATAAGCTCTCTCTGCCCATCTGCAATCTAGATTAGAGATAATTTTCAATTTGTGTAAATGTACAGAACAGATTTAAGACAATTATTCACAATAAACCCATAGTATCTTGATAATGAGAACTTCTTTCCATTTACCACTGCTTCACATAAATATGTGATTAAGGCAGTTATGGACAAATACCTTTATTTCTTAGTGTGTTCCCATTTACTTTTGCTTTTCAAAGCAAATTTGAATTGAATTTGAATGCAATTATCCCAGGGCTTGGTGGTGAGCTCTAGCCACCTTTTTTTTTCTCCTAAGTAACAATATTCTGTAACATAAGCCACAGCTTCCTGCCTCAGGGAAGTGGGCAGAACTGCTCTGCAGTAATTTCATTTCTCTTCAGAATGGAAACCTAGATCAGAGAGCTCCACAAATGAGAATCCTGCTATCACAGCACTCTGCCTTTTCTCTGCTTTATTAAAAAAGCAGTTCACACTTTCCGATGAGTCTTAAGACTTCCAGGTACATGACCTCCTACCTGGGCCCCATATCTAACAATCCTCTTGCATTTCATCAGAATCTCTGGAAAAACAAAACACACAACCACATATTTTCCACTGATTTTAATTCATTCAGTAGTTCTGACTCTTCAGCTCCTTTAAAGTTTTACATATAAAGAGTCAAATACAAAGGCCTACCACTTAGAATTTTTTCTTTTTTTTCAATTTTTTATTGAAGTATAGTTGAATTACAATGTTAATTACCGCTGTACAGCAAAGTGACTCAGCTATACATATATATACATTCTTTTTCATATTCTTTTCCATTATAGTTTATCACAGGATATTGAATATAGTTCCCTGTGCTATACAGTAGGACCTTGTTGTTTATCCATTCTATATATACCAGTTTGTATCTGCTAATCCCAAACTCCCACTCCTACCCTCTCCCACCCCTCTCCCCCTTGGCAACCACCAGTCTATTCTCTATGTCCCTGATTCTGTTTCTGTTTCATCGAATAGGTAAAAAGAACACTCGCTTACCCATCTACCAAAATAGATATTATGTGGATTCTCAGGGATGCAGTTTGGGTCCAAACCATAATCCTCCAAAATAGAGAATATATGTTGTGGCTTCTTTAAATTCACTTTTCCTTCAAATGGCAGAAATTCAAGGGCCTAAAAAATAAAAGTAATTCCAACGTCCTATAAAAATTTAAAAGAAAACATAGTGCTTATATAATAATACCAATCTTGTAAGTCTGGTATCAGCACTAAATAAGACAAAACATGAAAAGTACTTAGCACATAATGTGGTACAAAAGAAGCACTTAGCATTGCGGATATTATATATCAACAGTGGCTATATTACATTAATCTCATAGGTTTTTGGTTTTTGCTAAATTCACTTACATCTATCCGTTTGATTTTTTCTTCTTGTGTCAACGTTTTATTAAATGTGTGAATCTTTATTTTATATGTAGAATCTGAATGCAGAAATGGAACCTAAAATAAGAGCAGATAAATTCTTTAAGCTTAGTAATTCTACAGTATCTACAGATATGCTTACAGAAAACCACATTTCACTACGCACCATCTTCTCCACAGGGTAGTTTCTCAAAGAACTATATAGCTCCTCTGGAGACTTTCCATGACCCCACAGTTCAAATATAGACCTAGGAAATAAATGATTGACATTAACCTCAGTAAAAAAAAAAAAAAAAATGAGTTCATACAGTAATATGTAACAATTATTTCACTGGTTCTTTATGCTTGCTCCACTAAAACAATTATTGCCTATGTTTTCTAAGCTATAAATGAGAAATACACATCCTGGGAACAAATATAGCTTAAGTCTAAATTAACACAGAAGTTGAACTTTATACAAATAAGGAGGATTTATAAGTCAAGATTTTTTGAAGTTTTCATCATAATCATTTCATCATTTTTAAAAAATTTTTATTGGAGTATAGTTGATTTACAATGTTGTGTTATCACTTCATCATTTTTTAACTAGAACACAAATGATTCCATAAAATGACTTGTGATTTTAGTGAAACAGTAATAAAGGTGCAGGAAATTCAATCATTCCCACTGTCTTCTGAATAAAACAAAAGGAAAAATGACCAGATAAAAATGTTACCATTAATATTTAGCCATTATTTAATAACATTTAGTAATAATTACTTTTATGACTATTACAAAAACAAAATTCTTACTACAAAAAATTCTCAAGCGTCTATCAAGGAACATAAAAAATTAAGCAAAATTTCATTGTAATCAATGAAACAATTCTTAGAATTAGTTGTAATGAAACTTGATCTATATATTAGTACAATTTTGTGCATCTGAATTCAACTACTTTATGATTGTAAGTAATGCTGCCGTTAGGACTGAGTATACTATCTTCTGAAAATGAATTCCTCCTTTCCCTTGTAATGAATTATAGAAAGAGGGCCTCTACAGTAATACTACCCTTACTTAGCTAACTAAGAGCTAACAATATAACTCAAAGTACCAGGGACTGTTCTAAAGCCACTTAATATTAATTCACATATTCCTCACAGGAATCCTATTAGGTAGCTGCCAGTATCATCATCCATTTAACCAATGAGGAAACTGAGGCACAGAAAGATTAAATAACTCTCTCAGGTCATATAGCAATTGGTGAAGCTAAGATTCAAACCCAATCCATCTGACTCCAGAATCTATACACTGCTTCTCAGATATAAATATGCAAAAAGACAGGAACTCCAGGCCATTCAGGAAAGGCACAGACAATTCCATAAATCATAATTATCCCTAATGAACCATTATACAGTACTTTATAGGAACTAATGCTTGTAGTGATAACCTAGAATCAGTAAAAATGAAATAATACTCCCTATCCTCTTTTTCAGAAAGAATTTATATAACATTAATAAATTTATATTTAAATGGCAAAATAAAAATATTAGATATATAACATCATAAGCTTCAGTTATAATTGGAACACTGGAGTAACACCCTTTGTGATTTAGATTTCGGAGTAAACAGTTTTCATATATATGACTGCACGATTATGATCCCTATTTTAGAGATTATAAAACTTATATGAATTGCCACATCTCATGGGTGCTATATAAATAAGCATGGATGTCAACTTACTAATATAATATCAATATGACCTAAAATATTTCACTGATTATAGCAGTAATAATGAAACCTTTCTGACAAATAAAAATGCTTTAAGAAACTATGCTTTGAGGGGAGAAGGGTAATAGAACGGGGAAAGATACACAAGGAGCACCAATGGTTCCTGTCATGGTTTATTTCTTTAAAAAAAAAAAAAGCTGTGGCAAATATCTCAAAATGTTGAGATCTAACAAGGTAGGTACCTCGGTGTTTGTTATATATCACTGCTTGTGATATGTTCAAAATAGTCCATGTTAAAAATAAGTCAAATAAAATGAACTTTCAATCCCTATTGTACCACAAAAAAATCTGATGTTAGCTTTGAATGCACTGTTCTAAAAGTCTATTAGCTCCAGAACAATTAATGCTACAATTAGAACTGTAAATTTTATCCTCTGAAAATGAATTCCCCCATTTCTATTAAATTTATCGAGATAAGGCCTCTGCAGTAATACTGTTCTTACTTAGTTATCACTTAAGGTATAACCTCAGCTATGTAAAATATACAGACACTAAAAAGCAGCTAGGGACATTATTTCATAATGTTATACAACTATTACACAACTATTTATTGTACCATTACTCAAATATATGCATCAGAAGATATGAGCTTTGAAGGAAGTATACAAGTTCTGGTTCTCAAGTAGCTATTTTAAACCTATAAGCTTTATCTTTGGAATTCAAACACCTCTTAGAGCCATAAATTTTAATACGCTAATGTAGAGTAATAATTATTCAAAGGATGTGTTTCTTAGTTCTGTTTCTGCTTTCTAGTCATTTTTATTGACTAAGACCCATCAACAAGCCTCAATTTATGAGATTAGATTTAGTACTGCAGCTAGTTTTCAATAGGATAAATCTAATATGGGGGTTGTAGTCTATCCAATAATATAGCAATGACATACTATGCTATAAAGTATTGCTAACCATGCTAACAAAACTAGATATATGTAAATTCTTATTTGCACTGCATTATTAAATATTATAATTTCTAAGCAAAAAGAAGTTTTCAGAAATGTTTGGGGATGGGGGAGCATGTAAAAAAAAAAGCAATTCAAGGATAAGTTGTTCAGTTCTTAAAATGGTAGCTAAAAATGCAGTTTAATTTTCAAGCCCCAAGATAGAATTTTCCAACAATAAAAAAAATGAAAGAAAGAAAAGAAATGAAAAAAGAACAGATACTAATGATAAAAGCTAGAAAACACTCAGGCAGGATAAATAAGGAAGACATCATTATATTAATCCATATCAAGATATGATAATCAGAGTTCCTCTAACAAATAAAACAGAAAACATACTTTATGGTAGTCCTCATTTTTTGTCATCTTACACTTCACCAATCTGTTCATCTAACTAAAAACCATCTATAAGAAAAACATTTTTAGGTTTTCAATACTTTGGTTATAATTAAATGTGGCATTTATCCTATGTAATAACATAGCATTTACATCTTATACCATATGCTTGCTTAATGTAGAAGTTTAAAAAAATTATTCTAAAGCAAGCGTTTCTGCATTTCACCACTGAAATTCTCTCAACCTCAGTTTCAGCAGATAACTCTCCTCTGTTCTCCTACCACCATCCAGTGGCAAATACATGTAACTACAAGCTAAGCTGAGCTCCCCAAACAATCAACCCCCTTCTACCTTCTGCCAACATAAGCAAAAAGTAGGACAGAGTAGTTATGAGAAGTCTGGTTTACACTCATGCAGGAGGACACTATAAGTTTTTCTTACTTGGCACACACTGTCCGTTTCATTAAGTTTCTGGCAATATCTTCAGAGGGAATGCTAAGAATCCAAAAAGGAGACTGAAAGAAACAACAATATATGGTTTTATGGCCTCATATGCTTTCGTTTAAGAAGTCAATAAGGAGAGATTCCTATCTGCTACTTTTATGTAAGAATATCTGATTTGACACTAACCAAAATAAAAATTGCTCCAACAGATAAAAAATAAATAAATGAATTATTTTAATAGGTAACCTGTTAAGATAATACAGTACAGTATCAGAACACTTTTATAAATGACTGTATAAATGAAAACATCAGCAAATTTAAGGATATTTAAACTTCAGGTTAATTTTGTATTTGCTCTTATATAGTTTGATCAAGAATTAATGAGTATTTTACCCCAAAATATAATTTCAGAATTTTTTATTGTTGCTAATTATTTCTTATAACACAGCTATTTTATTTTTAACTACTAAGTAATGTATTTCTTTGAATGATCCCTTTTTTTCTAGGTAGTTGTGGCCACCCGAGGGGGTGGGAAACATAGTTATTGTCTCTGCAATAACTATGATGGAAAACTATACAGTATATTATTAAATTATCATTTATTTTTATTATTTTATCTAAGGAAAAAAGTTCCAAGTGCATCAGTGGGTTTTAATACCCAAGATTATAGGCACTTCTGTGCTCCACCCAGATAGCCACTTGCCAGAATGCAGCAAAATGTAGCAGGATCCTAACCTCAGTTTAACACCCTCACCCAATTATATCCACACTCTCCCTCTTTCCCTCCTCCCTCAATAAGTGAAATTCATTCAGGAGTACAAGTCCAACACCAGGGGACTTTCAAATTAAGTTCTCTCATCTTTTGTGAAAAGTCCTCCCTGCCACACCCAGCCTTTATTCCAATATTCACACTACCCTACAGAAAAATTCAAAATAATCCAAACAGGAAAAAAGATGGTCATCTCAGTATTATTTTTATTAGGAAAAATTTAAAAGCAACCTGAATGAAATGAAATCATTAGATAAATCATGGTAGAGCTAATCGATGGAAAATATTACACATCCCTGTTAGTAATGAAAGCTATGCAGAAATATGTGCCTACATTAATGCTATCAAATGAAAAAGAAATGCAGAAGTTCACTGGTAGCATTACCACTGAGCGGAAAAAATGTATATGAAAAAAGACTAGAAGGCAGTATCCCCAAATTATAAGTCACGTCAAGGAAGAAGAATTATGAATGATTTTTTCTTTTTCTATTTTCCAAACTCCTCTAATACACTGATAAACCATCAAATACAAAATATATAAATAAACTCACAATTTCACACATGCACAATTACAAATTTTAAAATGAGTACCAATATAAGCCTGAAATTCAGCTAAATTCTAAACTCTAATTATACCTCATCAATAGAAGACAGCCCTTTTTCCAATGAAGCAACAGATATAAATTATGGTATAACTGTTGAACTACAATTTAAAAACTAATAAAATAAGTGAATACTGGAAATAAATCTAACTTTCCAAAACCAAAATTTCTCCCAAATATCCTTTTTATTCAATTGCCCCTAAAAACAGACACAGGTAACCAAAAAAATATAAATTTAAGATTTTGAGCTCTTCTCTTTAAATTCAAGGTTCTATTTATAAGGATACTACATATGGTCTAATGAAAAATACAAATTCAACTTACCTTTCCATAAGTTTCCTGACTATTGGTGAACTGACCTCCAAAAAGTGAAAGCAGAGACTTTATTTCCTATATTGAAAATATCAGAGAGAGAATACATTTTAACACAGGGAACTTAAAGTCTATTAAGATGCAGCTATAACACACACACAAAGACACACACACACACACACACACACACACAAAGAGCAGATTATCTACTTAAGGTGTTTAAATGTCAATACCAGACAAATTACAACTCTGGGTTCTAAAAAAATTTTACAGTCACAATCATGGTAAGTAATTTCGGAGAAATTTTAGAAAAAAACAAAAAAGCGTTGTCAAAAAACTTTGAGAAAATGCACTGAGTTTTAAAAGGAAAAAGCAGATTACAAAAACAATAGATTAGTAAATCTGACAATGGATCAATACAAATAAATTAGATAATTTGAGGATGTTCAGAAAAGAAATAACATGTTTGTAATGATGTTTAGGATCCCTGTGTTTTCCCTTTGAATATTAATATCATAAACATTTTCTTCCTTGGCATCAGGACTGCAAATTTTTCAGTAGGAAACAATACACTTTATGTTGGACATTTAGGTGTTTTCAACTTTATCAGTTTAAAACAAAGCTAAATACTTATTTTCACAAATATATGGATTTTTCCATTTGAGATTGCTTCTTTAAAGTAGCATTACTATACTCAGAGACGTGAAAAATTTTATGGCTTCTTAGAGTATATGTGGCCAAAATACTTTTTTTTTTAACATCTTTATTGGAGTGTAATTGCTTTAAAATGGTGTGTTAGTTTCTGCTGTATAACAAAGTGAATCAGCTATACATATACATATATCCCCATATCCCCTCTTTCTTGCATCTCCCTCCCACCCTCCCTATCCCACCACTCTAGGTGGACACAAAGCACAGAGCTGATCTCCCGGTGCTATGCAGCTGCTTCCCACTAGCTATCTATTTTACATTTGGAGGTCTATATATGTCCATGCCACTCTATCACTTGGTCCCAGCATAGCCCTCCCCCTCCCCGTGTCCTCACTTCCATTCTCTACGTTTGCATCTTTATTCCTGTCCTGCCCCTAGGTTCTTCAGAACTTTTTTCTTTTTATTTTCCATATATATGTGTTAGCATACGGTATTTTTCTCTTTCTGACTTACTTAACTCTCTATGAGATTCTAGGTCCATCCATGTCACAACAAGTAACTCAATTTTCTTTCTTTTTATGGGTGAGTAATATTCCATTGTATATATGTGCCACATCTTCTTTATCCATTCATCTGTTGATGGACACTTAGGTTTTTTCCATTTCCTGGCTATTGTAAATAGAGCTGCAATGAACATTGTGGTACATGATTCGTTTTGAATTATGGTTTTCTCAGGGTATATGCCCAGTAGTGGGATTGCTGGGTTGTATGGTAGTTCTATTTTTAGTTTTCTAAGGAACCTCCATACTGTTCTCCATAGTGGCTGAATCAATTTACATTCCCACCAACAGTGCAAGAGGGTTCCCTTTTCTCCACACCCTCTCCAGCATTTACTGTTTGTAGATTTTTTGATGATGGCCATTCTGACCGGTGTTGAGTGATACCTCATTGTAGTTTTGACTTGCATTTCGCTAATGATTAGTGATGTTGAGCATCCTTTCATGTGTTTGTTGGCAGTCTGTATATCTTCTTTGGAGAAATGTCTATTTAGGTCTTCTGCCCATTTTTGGATTGGGTTGTTTGTTTTTCTGATATTGAGCTGCATGAGCTGCTGGTATATTTTGGAGATTAATCCTTTGTCAGTTGCTTCGTTTGTAAATATTTTCTCCCATTCTGAGGGTTGTCTTCTTGTCTTGTTTATGGTTTCCTTTGCTGTGCAAAAGCTTTTAAGTTTCATTAGGTCCCATTTGTTTATGTTTGTTTTAATTTCCATTTCTCTAGGAGGTGGGTCAAAAAGGATCTTCCTGTGATCTATGTCATGAAGTTCTGCCTATGTTATCCTCTAAGAGTTTTATACTGTCTGGACTTACATTTAGGTCTTTAATCCATTTTGAGTTTATTTTTGTGTATGCTGTCAGGTAGCATTCTAATTTCATTCTTTTACATGTAGCTCTCCAGTTTTCCCAGCACCACTTATTGAAGAGGCTGTCTTTTCTCCATTGTATATTCTTGCCTCCTTTATCAAAGATAAGATGACCATATGTGTGTGGGTTTATCGCTGGGCTTTCTATCCTGTTCCATTGATCTATATTTCTGTTTCTGTACCAGTACCATACTGTCTGGATTACTGTAGCTTTGCAGTATAGTCTGAAGTCAGGGAGCCTGATTCCTCCAGCTCCATTTTTCTTTCTCAAGATTGCCTTGGCTATTCGGGGTCTTTTGTGTTTCCATACAAGTTGTGAAATTTTTTGTTCTAGTTCTGTGAAAAATGCCTTTGGTAGTTTGATAGGGATTGCATTGAATCTGTAGATTGCTGTGGGTAGTAGAGTCATTTTCACAATACTGATTCTTCCAATCCAAAAACATGGTATATCTCTCCATCTGTTTGTATCATCTTTAATTTCTTTCATCAGTGTCTTATAGTTTTCTGCATACAGGTCTTTTGCCTCCTTAGGTAGGTTTATTCCTAGGTATTTTATTCTTTTTGTTGCAATGGTAAATGGGAATGTTTCCTTAATTTCTCTTTCAGATTTTTCACCATTAGTGTATAGGAATGCAAGAGATTTCTGTGCATTAATTTTGTATCCTACTACTTTACCAAATTCATTGATTAGCTCTAGTAGTTTTCTGGTAGCATCTTTAGGATTCTCTATGTATAGTATCATGTCATCTGCAAACAGTGACAGCTTTACTTCTTCTTTTCCGAATTGGATTCTTTTATTTTTTTTTCTTCTCTGACTGCTGTGGCTAAAACTTCCAAAACTATGCATAATAATAGTGGTGAGAGTGGGCAACCTTGCCTTGTTCCTTTTCTTAGTGGAAATAATTTCAGTTTTTCACCATTGAGAACGATGTTGGCTGTGGGTTTGTCATATATGGCCTTTATTATGTTGAGATAAGTTCCCTCTATGCCTACTTTCTGGAGGGTTTTTATCATAAATGGGTGTTGAATTTTCTCGAAAGCTTTTTCTACATCTATTGAGATGATTATATGGTTTTTATTCTTCAATTTGCTAATATGGTGTATCACATTGATTGATTTGCATATATTGAAGAATCTTTGCATTCCTGGGATAAACCCCATTTGATCATGGTGTATGATCCTTTTAATGTGCTGTTGGATTCTGTTTGCTAGTATTTTTGTTGAGGATTTTTGCATCTATGTTCATCAGTGATATTGGCCAGTAGTTTTCTTTTCTTGTGGCATCTCTGTCTGGTTTTGGTATCAGGTTGACGGTGGCCTCGTAGAATGAGTTTGGGAGTGTTCCTCCCTCTGCTATATTTTGGAAGAGTTTGAGAAGGATAGGTGTTAGCTCTTCTCTAAATGTTTGATAGAATATTCTGGTGAATCCATCTGGTCCTGGGCTTCTGTTTGTTGGAAGATTTTTAATCACAGTTTCAATTTCAGTGCTTGGGATCGGTCTGTTTATATTTTCTATTTCTTCCTGGTTCAATTTCAGAAGGTTGTGTTTTTCTAATAATTTGTCCATTTCTTCCAGGTTGTCCATTTTATTGGCATATAGTTGCTTGTAGTAATCTCTCATGCTCCTTTGAATTTCTGCAGTGTCAGTTGTTACTTCTCCTTTTTCATTTCTAATTCTGTTGAGTCTTCTCCCTTTTTTTCTAGATGAGTCTGGCTAATGGTTTATCAATTTTGTTTATCTTCTCAAAGAACAAGCTTTTAGGATCAATTATCTTTGCTATTGTTTCCTTCATTTCTTTTTCATTTATTTCTGGTCTGATATTTATGATTTCGTTCCTTCTGCTAACTTTGGGGTTTTCTTGTTCTTCTTTCTCTAATTGCTTTAGGTGTAAGGTTAGGTTGTTTATTTGAGATGTTTCTTGTTACTTGAGGTAGGACTGTATTGCTGTAAACTTCCCTCTTAGAACTGCTTTTGCTGCTTCCCATAGGTTTTGGGTCATCGTGTTCTCATTGTCATTTGTTTCTAGGTATTTTTTTATTTCCTCTTTGATTTCTTCAGTAATCTCTTGGTTATACAGTAGTGTATTGTTTAGCCTCCACGTGTTAGTATTTTTTACAGATTTTTTCCTGTAATTGATACCTAGTCTCATAGCACTGTGGCCAGAAAAGATACTTGATATGATTTCAGTTTTCTTAAATTTACCAAGGCTTGATTTGTGACCCAAGATATGATCTATCCTGGAGAATGTTCCATGAGCACTTGAGAAGAAAGTGTTATCTGCTGTTTTTTAGATGGAATGTCCTATAAGTATCAATTAAGTCCATCTTGTTTAATGTATCATTTAAAGCTTGTGTCTCCTTATTTATTTTCATTTTGGGTGATCTGTCCATTGGTGAAAGTGGGGTGTTAAAGTCCCCTACTATTATTGTGTTACTGTCGATTTCCCCTTTTATGGCTGTTAGCATTTGCCTTATCTATTGAGGTGCCCCTATGTTGAGTGCATAAATATTTACAATTGCTATATCTTCTTCTTGGACTGATCCCTTGATCATTATGTAATGTCCTTGTCTCTTGTAACCTTCTTTACTTTAAAGTCTATTTTGTCTGATATGAGAATTGCTACTCCAGCTTTCTTTTGATTTCCATTCCCATGGAATATCTTTTTCCATGCCCTCACTTTCAGTCTGTATGTGTCCCTAGGTCTGAATTGGGTCTCTTGTAGACAGCATATGTACAGGTCTTGTTTTTGTAACCATTCAGCCAGTCTATGTCTTTTGGTTGGAGCATCTAATCCATTTACACTTAAGGTAGTTATCGATATTTATGTTTCTATTACCATTTTCTTAATTGTTTTGGGTTTGTTATTGTAAGTCTTTTCCTTCTGTTGTGTTTCTGGCCTAGAGAAGTTCCTTTAGCATTTGTCGTAAAGCTGGTTTGGTGGTGCTGAATTTTCTTAGCTTTTGCTTGTCTGTAAAGGTTTTAATTTCTACCTTGAATCTGAAT